ATGACATCAACAGCGTTCCCGAAGCACGAGCATATGGCGACCAATGTCGCACGCTTCAGCACCAGGTATGTCTCTCGTAACACTCACAACCCCGATCCACACCGCACAGATGCCACGAGCACCCAAAGGACCACCCTGCGCTTCACCTAGCATACAGCAGCGCAGCTTGGCTATGGCTGCGTGCTCCCTCCTACTCGCCCGTGAGAGCGTGAGTGCCAGCCAGCCAGCGSATTGCGCAGCAGCGCTCACGCAGCACGCAGCCAGCACCCGAATGCCGAATGAGGAGGCAGGCCCTTCCCTATATCGAAGTGGCCTGCCTGCGTCCAGTCCAGGAAGCTTCCGGTAGGCCCCGGTAGGCACAGGCCCAGTCACGAAGGGAGCAGGCCTTGGGCCTGAAGTGGTTGCATGCGCCCAACTGCTTTCGGCCTGTGTTTGGCCCGGTACCTGTATCCAGCCCAGGGCCTGCTTCACATTCATTTACACAGGCGGCCCAGGGCCTGGATTCATTCAACCAACTGCGCAACGCAACTGTCTGAATTTCCCCGTTGCGGGGTACCCTGAAGAATGAGGCCCGAAGGGCCTGTCGTGCCTGCCTTCACTTAGGGCGGCCGACCTTGTTGGAGATAGGGCCCTGTAGGGGCTAAGCGGGCGTAGCCTCGCATTCCCTCCATATCTTCGCTAGTCCTCTTCGAAGATCAATCTGTAGCCATCTGGCGCTTTCCTTTCAGCATATCCTTCTCATAGCGGGCAATGATTCGAGGAGCGGTCTGCATCAGTTCCTCCCGAGTAAACCAGCGGTCCTCCTTCGGATCTGTATGATGTCTGAAGTGGACTCGGAACTGCAGCTTTGGCTTTGGAGGACGTCCCCTTCCTGGAGGCTTCTGAACAGGCATCTCCCTGTGGTCAACGATATCATCGATGTCGACTTCTCCGTCCATGGTTGGGGGCAGCATGGATTGACGAGAGGGAAACTGATCAGTTTCCTTGGATGCAGCGAGCTTAGAGGCGTGAAAGACTGGGTAAGTTCTGAGATGACCAGGGATACGGATGACATATGATGGACCATCAGGATCTGTCC